CACGTGTTCATCTTYAGGCTCCTCCAGAGTTTTATGAGATAGAAGTTTAAAAAAAAAACGTTCACTTCACGTTTTGAACAAAAAATGAGTGGAAGTCAGTGAGAGTTTGGAGTCGAGAACTCTGGAGGGGTTGAAACAAAAAATATGTGTGTGAGCCACACTGAACAAAAGAAGTTTAAAATGGTTTTTTTTTTGTATAAACTGTATGAAGAATGTAGAAATAAGAAGAAATTATTTGCAAAAAAATATTTCTGATGAATAGCTGTGTGCAGCTAAAAATCACACACACAGACACCCACATCAGAGACAACTACACTTCAAGAAATGACATAATGTGTTGTAAAGGATGAAGTTGACACAAGAACAAACAATGTAGGTTTGCCAATCAAACTGGCTTATATTTAACATCCTGAGGGGGGTCAATATTCTTAACCGTATTTAATATAATAGTAAAATACTGAGTAAGCCATCGTATATAAGCCTACAGGGCTTCTTGGCTCTCCCTGCACTGTCATTATCTTTTTTCTTTGAACTGATTTGTATTTTTATTGTGCAAAAACTAAACTAAACTAAACTAAACTGACTTTGGGCACTGCTCATAGAGAATCTGTCCATCATTTTAAATCAACACTTTCTCTATATGAGCTAGAGTAGATAAAAAACAATAGATTTGTATATTAATACTGTATTATGTACAAACCTGTAATACTAATTTTGCTTCTGATCTTGAAGAGTTTTCGCAACCTCCGCTTCAGTGAGGGGTGCAATTACTTTTTTTTAAACCTTTTAAATCCTTTCACTGGGTCAAAAACTTTATAGGAGACAGACGTGGGGATGTTGATTTCAGATGAGGTTTGGGTGGAGAAGAGAAAAAAAGAGAATTGGTGCCTCAAAGATTTGTAGATTCTTTTTATCAGACCGATAACTTCCTTCTTGGACAGAAAACACATTAAAAAGGTCAAATCTGAGGATGAGAAAAAGCTTAGAGTCATTTCATGTAGAGGAAACATATACGGTTTGACTTTTTGAAACTGTATTMGTTTTATGTAACTTCCTGTCTGTTTTACCCACACATCGGTTCGTGTTTATTTATTCAAATCAGAACTTTATAGRAAAATAAATTCCCATGAAAGAKGTTATTGGATCATGTTTGTTTGACATKAAGCATGTGATCTTGTGATCAGCTGCAAGAATATGTTTAAATCAGATTTATCCTTGTTCTTTAATTTAGTCTGTTTGGCAAAAAATAAGCAATTAAAAGAAATAAAGTGGAAAAAAGTAAGAGTGAAATAAAATATGTTTTTAGGAAATGTTAAAGAAATCGTTTACATCATCAAATAATATCTAATTATYATTGTGTAATTACTCTGTGACATATTTAACAGATTTATGAACACTAACACTGAAAAAAGCCTGAGGACAAACAAMATAGAGATATTCAGTGGAGTGTTTTTGTAGCTGGATTGTGCAACACTTTCAACTTTTTAACAACCAGAAAAAGCTCATATAAAACTTTATGCTTAAAAAAATGTGAACAGTTTTTAAGGCAAATTCCTGCTTTATCTTTTATCACATTTTCTTTTTTTTTAAACAGTTAATTCCAACTAAAACACCTGCAGCGCAGAACGTTTCATGTAAGAAAGTTGCACTCTGAAATAAATAAATCTAAACGTAATGTTCTGCTCAAACAAACATGGATGATTTATGTCAGCAACCTTCAAGCAACTTCCAGAAACTCCAGAGGTTTTCACTCCAGGGTCAAATTACAGGGCTTTCATTCGGAGCAGACCCCGTCTCTCTGCACAAAAACATATTTTTGTTGCAGTGTTTTTAACTTCTCTGCTCCAACTTGTTCTGCAGGCTGCTGGGCCCTAAAACAAGCTCTGGAACATTCAAGTATGTGACTCTGGGAGAATAATCTGCAGCTTTGCTGTGATTTGGGGACTTTTGGGTTTGAATCTTTGCTTTTAATAAAACTCAGGTTGAGGCTTGAAGCAATACTGAAGTAAACGTGGCACTTTCTTTTACTGTTTTCAAACTCCTGTCTGGTTGAAATCAGAACTTGTCCTTCCTCTAGGGAGATGTTTTTCTACAGTTGTTTTTAGGACAAAGATCATTATCAAGCTGAAAAGACAACTTCTTGTTCAGCTTCCAGATGGAACACTGATATGATTCAAACTCTTCAGCTAAACTACAAAAAAAAAAAAAAAAAAGCTTCAAGCTGCTCTGCAAGTTTTAGGCAGTAGACCAACCCAAACCTCTGGTTTGCACAGCTATTGTTCCCCTGAGCAAACACGGCCTCACTCGGTTTTTTCAAGCTGAATAAAGCTGAAAGGCCAGATTTATTCAGGATAACCATTTTAACACCGGCACACAAAGCAGGAGACACAGAGGACGTGAGCTGTTACAGGTTTTATCTTTCAAAGTTCATTCATCACTTTGTAAAGATGCAGAAATGATCATGAAGGCATCGCCTTTATAAAAGTGGGAGAACAGCTGGATAAAGATGTTAGCAGCTGTTTTTAGACGTTTGGTCTGGATTTTTACATTTTTTTAATCAAATATCAATAAAGCTCTATTATTTTACTTGCTAAACAAAAAGTGCAGCCATACATATGCACTTTATTTTATTTTATTTTATTTCATATAGGTTCTTTATCATTATGTTTCTCTCTTTATTGATTGAAATAATTGTTCRTTATATAGTTACCATGTTTGAAATAAACTAAACAAACTTTTGTTAATAAAAGTTTTTTATGATTTTTTTTAATACCATAACCTTCTTAAACTAATCACCTGAGTTGCCCCCACCCCCCTTTTCAGGAAACACAAAAGGACCATCTAAGGATCTGGGTGACTTGGAACCATCTGTAAAATCTCATGTCAAAAACTTGGGTGTGATCTTTGACTCAAACTTCAACTTTGAGAAACAGATTAATTCTGTAGTTAAAAGATTATTTTTTTAAACTGAGACTTTTATCTCAAATCAAACCGTTTTTACCTTTCAAAGACCCTGAATGTGTGATCCATGCTTTAATTACATCTCAGCAGGACTACTGCAGCTCTCTGTATGTTGGTAGCCAGGCTGGCCTCTCACGCCTGCAGCTGGTTCAGAACACTGCAGCAYGCCTTTAACATGGACCAAGAAGTGTGATCATATCTCCCCTGTGCTGGCTTCCCTTCATTAGCTCACTGTGTGTTTTAGAATTGATTTTAAACTTTTACTGATGACCTATAAGGCTCTGAATGGACTGGCTCCTGAACACCTGTCTGACCTCCTGCAGCCCTATGTGCCCTCCAGATCTCTCTGATCCAGTGATCATTTGCTCTTGGCTGTCCCGCGGTCCAGACTGGTCCACAGAGGTGATCGAGCCTTTTCTGTTGTGGCTCCAGCCACCCCTTCACATTAGACAGGCCTCAACTCTTGGAGTTTTTAAATCTCTTCTTAAAACACACCTGTTTTCAAAAGCTTTGAATGTAGTATGAGAGTTGTTTTTCCCCTATTTATTTGGTCTGTTTTTATGGTTTTATCATTATTTGTTTATTGTCTGTAATGCTTTGTTTTTAATAGTTRCAATATGTGAAGCACTTTGGCCAACGGCAGTTGTTTTTAAATGTGCTGTATAAGCAAATTTGACTTGATTTGAACAAAAATGAGGCTTTTTTTAATTTCTAATTTCATTTTTTGTTTGTTTGTTTGTTTGTTTAATTACACGAAAAAAAAACGACTTGGGAGTTTATTTTACTGTGTTGATATATGAATGATTGAAAAATAATAAAGAAAAATCAAAAATGTCTTCCCAAAACTAACATGCAAACATGCAATGAAATCAAATTATCTTATATTGTGTCCAATAAAGGTTTCAACTTGTAATTTGTATTCAAAGCAATGTGCTCAAGCAGAACAAATCCAATATCGACCGGAAAATTACTTGTTACAGAATCAAACTTTGTGTTAGATTTTTTTTTGTGTGTGTGTGTGTGTGTGTGTGTGTGTGTGTGTTCCTTCTGAACTCTGTCAGCAGATTAGATTTGTGAGGATGGAGACGTGTCCTCTGACACCAGCTGTCTGCAGAGCCTCTGAGAAAATCATTTGCTCACAGSAGATTTGATTGTTGTTGTTTAAAAGTGACTGACTCAGCTGTGATGTTTGCAGTTACTGATGAGGCTGTTGTGCTGCAGAACAGTAGATGCACATCAGTTACATTACAGCTTATTGTAAAATGAGTTGTAGCTGTTTTGGTTAAACTTCGAAAATAAAATACTGTGGCGTCATCTGATGCAATATTGCGACTGCTCGCTTCTTCTGTCATCACTTGGATTGTGTAATTTGTGAACGACCCTCAGCTACTGCACCAAATCTTTGCTCATTATTTGTAAAACTGGCMGAGGTATATCCTTTTGTGTTTTTAATTTCAGTTAGCTGTGGAAGACATCTTGAATCGGGTCGACTGCAAAAGTTGATCAGTTGATGTCAGCCCATTACTTTCTGAATGTTTCATCAAAATCTGTTGGAGTTATTTTGCTAACAGTAAAACTTTAAATTTTTTTAGCTTCCGGCCCACAAAATAACAGCTGCAGAAACCCAGATTTGGTTTACATAAGCAAACTTTGCTAAAAACTCAGTTCAACATGGGCATAAAAACAGTGTAGAAAGTGTAAATCAACTGATACTTTTACCTTTTTTATTTTGCAATAATTAGTGAAAATATTCCCTTATTTGCATTTAAATCGTGTCTGGAAATTATCTGGGGACCCTCACTTGATGCATCATGACCCACTGAACTAATACACATTAAGACTCAAACACAACTGCAGGATGTTTTTTTTCTTTCAGGAGACTGGTGTTATTTTGTTTTAAAGAATGGATATATATTTTTTAGATTTAATACCTTTCAAAACTATAAACCTTAGCAAAGAAAAACGTTATTTCATGGTTGTAAATAAAATCTGACCCTAAAAGAATTAATAATCCGAGATGAAACTCACTCCAGACTACGCTCAGTGAACAGTGTTGACTTTATTCTTCATGAGGTCATCTTTTATACACTTAAAATGTCGAGGGGCTTCAAACGGGTTCTGCAGAGTGATGGAGAACTTCTACATTTACACAGATATTATACAACAATGGTCAATGAAACTACACAGAGTGAATTAAATAGACTCAAAGTTAAATAAATAGATTGAAAAATCCATTTACAGCCTTCATCGTAAYGCTAGCATTTCCACTTTTTACAGAAATTCTTAACGGTCCAATTCCAAACTTTACAGCAGCCCAGCAGTACCTACAAGTTCTTTTATACATTTAGATAATTTCTTCATGATTCCTTTACAGTAACACTGCACAATAAATATATAGATGGAGGTCATTAATATTAGGGCAGGCTAATGTGAAGCAATTCATTTAGTCAATTTATACAGAAAATGCAAGCTGGGACGTGTAAATATTTGATCAAAACGAGAATCAAGTGCTAAACGTGCTTAATGAGCCTTTTCAAAAAGCAAATAAAACATACATCAGGAAATACAAGATTACTTAATAAAAGATTAGTTAGAAGAAAAGGAGGAAATAGTTAAGAAAAGAACTCAAGGCACCAAAAGAAAAAAGATATCAGCAGGATGTTACTCCAGAGTTAAATCATTGATCATTGATCAGGAAATTGACCTGGGGAGAATACAGGGCTGACAGCTGTTTGATAAAATTAATCATGATTGTGAGAATCAGCTCAATTTGATTTTCAGATCTTGGTAATAATGTAGGTGATTTTATAGCACCAAATTCATCCGACATAACTCAATAACAGCGTTGGCATCGCTCAACTCAAACCAATCCAATAAAGAGTGATCAATAGATCATGTCTGGTTTGTCTTTGTGCTGGAGGCCTCTACAGGACTGAGAACTGTGATATTAGCTTTTTGCCTTCATGCATTAGATTTTGGGAACAATTTGGAATGACTACTTGAAATTTTCCACAACTTTAAACACACCTGTTGATCCCTTTATCATCCTTAACAGAAACCATTTGAATCTGCAGCAACAAAAACAGGAGAGTCGTTGTTGTGAGTAACGCTGGGTGAGAATATTTTGGTCACAAACACAAGTACGGTGATAACAACATGATTATAGTTGATTCGGTGTTCTACAGAGTAAGAAAAAAACTAAATTCTATTATTACTGTAATCAAGTCAGAGATCTGAGTGTTTTTTAAAAAGCCCCATATCATCAAGAAGACAGGAGTGTTTGCACTTTGGATCTGAAATCACCTCTAAACGCTGCTTCTTTTCTCAGTGTTTGTAAAAGAAGCTGCAGCCAGCCAGTGTTTAACTGAAGTGAGGAGTGGATGAAGTCACCAGGAGTCTGCAGCACATCATCCTGGCTCCGACTGCATAGTTCCAACATTAAGTATAGATTTGTCAAATCGTCTGGCTGAAGACGTGTGGTTTGACCTGAGGCGGTGGACTTATGGCTGATCTATTTCCACATAAAACACCATCCTTACTGAAGCTGACAGGCCAAAGTCACAGGACAAGTGATGTCACAGGTTTAAATAAAAGCTTTCACAACTACTTTAAAGGTTCAGTTAATAAGGCTACACTGCTGTAACAGCAACAATCAGGGGGCGTTATTATAAATGATCTTGGTAACACTAAACTGACAGGGTTTGACCAGAATGAGAAGTAAAGGCAAAAGTGTGAAGACAATGTCTTCTGAGAACAGATCACAGCCAAGAACCAGAGTCAGAGGACAGCAGGAACTGCACGACACGGCTCTGATTACAGGAGAAATACTGTCGAAGGGTCACCACAACATCGAGTCTTCAACAAGATGAGAAAGAACGGGGTACTCATTTCAGACGAAACAAAAAAACAACAACAAAACAAGCAGCTCGTTTCTCTCTTCATCCTTCTCCAGGCTGCATGCAGGTTTCTCCACTCCCAAATAAAGAAGACCGACAGGGTTGGAGGAGAGAGTTCGGTTTAAATATTTTGTTTTTTCAGTCCTTGATGCAGGTGGACAGAGAGGGTGACGTGGCATTGGTATCTGGGATGGACAGGAGGTGCTGAATCAGAGGGGAGGAGGGAGTCAACATGAAGACAGGTCCTTAGAGAGAAGAGGGGTTTTGGAGTGATGAGAGGAGTTCAGCGCTACAGAAACAGGAGGAGACAAAGAGAGGAGAACATTTAATTCAACTTCATTTACTACATAGAACTAAAAACCAGGCTAAATAAACAGATGCAGTATCAAACAGTTACAGGACTAAATAATCGTTAACCACAACAAGGGTTGTTTTTAACAAATACCTGTGAAGAAATGCTACATATTTACAAATCTGTCTAATTTTGTTTTGTATTCTAGTTCCTGAAAGAAGATTGTGGCTGAGAGCTGTGCCCTGCAGCCTGATATTTATTACTCCTACTTGCACCAACATGAACTTCCTCTTTAACTCTATGGACGTGGATGATGCACCTCTAGATTCCCGGCAGAGCCCTGTCATCCTGCTCCTAACATGTCGCTCATGAACAGACTGACGTTGACCTGCATGCAGCTGCTCTACACATTTAGATCTTTGGCTCAACGGTTTTTGTTTCTTACGGAAACATCTCTGAGCGGTTTTGTTTGTCGACTGCCACACCATGCTGTGGATGTGTTAGGAGACACACGCGAAGCTTTAGAGGTTAGCTTATCAACAGGTGAGACAAAAGGAGAATTCTGGCTGCAGGAAGAGGAAGGCCCCGCCCGAGCTGTGATGAAAGTGTCCTGACGTACAGGAAGTGAAGCTCTGCGGCTGGACGCAGCACTTCTCTGATCGCTGATGTTTGTTTTCACCGATAACTCACCGCTCGTGGAACGACTGGACTTTCTACGAGTCAGAACAAACTCTGGACCCGACACGGTCTTACAAACACCAATAACACTGCGGCTTCTAACGAAGGTGGCGTCTCGTGGGAGAGCCCTGCCTCTGTGGGACGAGCTGCTGCTCTGAGAGCTGTTCTCAGGACAAAGACAAGAAGAGGGTCTTACAGGGCTGGTGTTGAGACTTCGAGTCAGCGTTCGCAGGTGGTGCGTAGCTGAGGCGGGGACGCTGCTGCCGAGAACCGGGCTAGCTCGCGAGCTGCTCCTCAGCTGGGGCCGAGCAGGGCTGCTGCGGGGGCTCCGGGGGGCCCGGCCCGACTTGGTCACGAGCTCTTTGGCCCGAGAGCGGCGGGGGCTGCTGTTCAGACTGTGCGGATACTGAGGCGCTTCCAGGTCCTCCAGACGCTGGGTGAGAGCCAGCTTCTGCTGGATGGCCATACGCAGCAGGGAATTCAGAGTCTTCTTCTCGTCTTCTGCAGCCGCGAGCTGCCTCTGCATCTCATCCAGCTGCGTGATGTACTGGTCACACCTGAAAGAGGCGAACAACAACAGTGACATGCACCATGCAGAYGCAGCCCAGAGCAAATTAAATCACATACACACTTCATATCATGCTAAAACAAGACTCTGTGTGTTAGATGCAAACTTTAAACACTGTCATGGAACACAAACAAGGATAATCTTTTAAATTATTATTTGAACAGTTCATCAAAGCCAGGGGAAAAACAGCACATTGGGATGTGTTATGGGAATTACAATATAAATATAAAAAAAACTTTAAAAACAACAAAATGTGAACCACAGTTTAATATTTACTGTAGTTTAGGATTTTATTGTAACTTTGTATTTAGTTACTTGTTTTTAATATTGCATGTTTGGTACCACAGCGCCATCTACTGGTTAATAAAAGATCAACAGGGTTCTAACAGTATTTATGTTAGGCTCTGCAAGTTTTTCCCCCCAACTCCAGCTGTCAAAGATTTTTCTCCATTTCTTGGACAAAAATATTTTATGTCCAAGTACAAAAATATACAACTCCTGGCAAAACTGATGTAACCACCACACGTAGAGGAAGTTCTTTCAATTGTTGGATATTGTATTAAAAAGGATGAAGGGAAATTATGATTTTGCAACATTCCAACCTTCTAGCATTAGGAAACAGTACATGAATGACAGAGATGTAATTAGATGTAATTACTGTAGAAGGTCATGGTTGCTTTTGAAAATCAAGCAGACGAAAAACTGGCTTTTCTAACACCATGAATTCTCTGAGTCGTGGTCTAACTAAAGACAAACTCTTCATCAATCTGACTCCAGCTGTCTGATATTGCTGTTGCCAGATCAGTTTTGTAGGTTAAACTCAGTCAYTACCCATAAACATCTATTTCCACCAGTAATTTTTTAACTGGACAGAGATCCCATGTCACTGTTGTCCTTTGGCCAAGATGCCTTCTAATCTTGAAAAATGAAGTAATTCTTTCAAATGACGGAATAATAAAAGTGTCCAAAATCTCATCGTAGACTTCAGCATTCGATGAAAATGTAATGATTATCATCTCCCCCAAGCCTTTATCTGACACAACCCTTTCACCCAGTTATCCACAGTTAATAATTGCTTTTAGTCCACTGTCACCTTGCTTTTTCCATTTAGGTGTTAAAGTGTACAGGTACTTTCATTTGTTTTTTCTGTCTGTTAATGCCACTTCTTTAAGGTGATTTCCCACAGTTCAGTTAAAGACACTGACTCCATCTTCTAACCACTTGTTGTGCTTTTTCTGTTTTCAGATACTTTGCTTTAAGTTTTCTATGTTGCTTCCCTTTTTACAATCTTCACATTTTGATTGTTGTTCCCAGTCAGCTGTGTCTGAAATCTGRACCAATTCATGTCRGTCAGCTTTGTGCAACAGCTTTTTWAAGTTTTTACTGAAGRCTAATTAGCTAATTTAATCAGTCGTATTTGTTGTAGAATTGCAAAACAAAGTGATTCTATCATTTTTTTTTTCTGCTGGATCAAAAAAAGTGTGTGACTGACTTCAACAATTCTATTTTTTATTAATTTTTTTACTGTTTTAATGCCAGAAGGTTGAAAAAACAATTACAGTTTTGTGGAATATCTGTGTCTTATTTTTTACACAAAATAAACAATTGAAAGAACATCCCCCAAGAGTGGTTATTCCATCATTTCTGCCAGGCGTTGTACTTTAAATACAGTAAATGTGTAAATACTGGTCATGATGTACGTCTGCTTGCTCCTATAAACAGTTTAAAAATAATAGTTGTTATGAATAGCAGGAAATGACAGTTCTGGTAAAAAAAAATCAAATCAAATCAAAAGCATTTAAAATTTTGTCAAAAGGGTTTAAGTTTTTTAAATATAACATTTTATAAATTTATGTTGCTATTTGCAGTTTAAAAAACACAAAACAGAGCAACACACATTTTGGGGCTGGGCTAACCTTTGACTGCTTCACAACAGTTTGTAACATGAGTTCTTGTTCACTGTAAATATTTATTTAATTTTAATTGAGTTTCCTGCACAGTGTGCAAAATATGACCTGCTTCTCTCACAGGTTTAAATAGTGTTAATTGCTGCCGATTAGGAAGCAGCTTCTTACTTGAGTTGATTGCTGATTAATGTTTTTATCCGAGCGTAAACTTTAGGTATAAACAACATTCATTCATTTCGCTTCAGTGATGTGAAAGCTGAAGAGCATAAGATAAAATATATAAACACAGATTTTATATAATCTATATGAAATCTGAAGTGAGAACTTTAGCTTCACACATAAAACATTTTTGTTTTATAAATGGAAGAGCTGTTTCTATATTTCTATGTGAAACAAGTGCCATAATTAATTTTACTAAACAAAATGTACAAAAGGTTTACCTGAAAACTCACTAAGTAGTTTGAAAATATTGAAAGAAATGGAATTTGGGCAAATACATATTGTGAGGCCTTTGCTATACAATACTGTGGGTTTTTCACAGTTTACTGTATATTTGTTGTTCAACTGTAATATTTGAAGAAATTTAATCAGGAGTTTTACTATTTTATTTTGCTGCATGCTGCTTTGTGGGACCATGAGAACACAAAAAACATTGTTAGCATTCTGAAATAAAGAAGAGAAACAGTTTTTAAACAGTTTTTTGACTCCTGACTGGCACTTAGTAGTGAGCATTTAAACTCAATCAGCTAAAGTTATAGTTCCTCAGCAACAAGCTTATAAATTAAAAAAGGGTATGGGTTACAAATTACTGTTAAAACTGCCCAAGCTGTATTACTACTCTCCTCCACATGGTGGCGACACTAAACCAAGCATAACCCAAGATGACTTCTTTAAAGCTTTAAGCTTCAGTCTGTCGGAGCAGACAGCAGCCATCCTTGATCGCTGTCTGTTCTCCAATCCTTCTTAGAGATAATCAAACAGCAGCTCATAACCGTCTGCAAAAAGACCCAGACAGTCTGATGCTTTTCCAGGAAGAGTCCATAAAATTTACAGTGAAAACCTAAATTAATAACAGCACTGCTGCCGTGAAACAATAATCAGAAGAGATCAGTGTTGGAGATAAGGAGGTCTATAAAATAACTCTTAGTATCTCTTACACAGGACCTCTCTTAAATGTCCCACCTGATMCTGCTTACATTTGACTCCTCCTTCCCTGCAGTGACCTGGCTCGATGGGAAAACCTGCCCTTGGCTTTTCCCATCAGCACAAGGCAGAGCATGTGGTTTATAATCTTCACGTGAACTGCTGGATTGTTCCCACGCGTAATGAGCACAATAAGCTCATTAGGTGAGTGACACCTAAAGCTCTACTACAACAACCATTACCGAGGGTAAGAAGCAAAAATTAACAAACCTACAAAATAAGGTTAGGCAATATTGACAAAAAAAATAATTGTGATTAATTGTGGTATTTATCTGATAATGGTTAATATGACGATTAATCCCCTGGAGTCCCTGCATATCCTTGTCACATGACCAATTTAAATCACTCTTGTGGGAAAGATTTGCTCTCAGCAAAAATCTGTTCCAATGTACGTCAAAATTCAGGCTAAACATCAATTTTTTAATTGTGTTGACAGACCAAGTAAAACCAGAGTTATGATAAAAAAAAAAAACTTACAGAACTTTTTAAAGAAATGTTTGTCATATTTGAAGCAGAGAGGAGCATTGAGCAGACTGACCGGGGAAATCTCCAGTCAGTCTGCCTGGCAGCAATAATCATATTAGTCGTCAAGTGCCAAAAAATAATCTATTAAATGTTTTCTGACGACTAATTGAACATGATACGATTTTGCYCAACCCTACTACAAACAAACAGAGCAAAAGGAAAAATTCCTTATGGAACTTATCATTGTGTGGTKGCAAATCAGATGCAAAAAGAAACAAACAGCAAAAAGTCTTACCGACTGGCAAACATGACTCTGAGTGAAGAGAAGGTGGCAGCGTCCTCCTTCAGGGTTTTCAGCTCGTTTCGCAGTTTCATCATGGTCTCTGACACCATGCACTTCTCTGTCTCATACTTGGTCTTCAAAYTGGACAAAGCCAGTTCAGCAGTCTGTAAAAGTCAAACATATCGTCACTTTCAAAAAGTGCTGATGTTTACACTTGAGCTCTATCGAGACATGAAACAACAACGCTGAAAGMTTTGTCTAAGATTGTTTAAATAAAATGTCAGGTTTTGATTTAAGMAATAGTCAAAATTAATTTGACTTGTTTTTAAAAATGTGTAATGCTGTAGGTAAGATTATTACTCTGTCGATGTTTGTGAAAGTTTAATGAGCCTACTCTTCATTGTGCAGCTGATGTCATCTCCAAACAAACCATATGTTTACACTTCACTGTAAAAGATAATATCCGCAATCTCCTTAGAAACTGTCTTTTTTATTGYTGCTTTTCTTTTTGCTTTAAAACATTTTTCACCAACATACTACAATGTTCTTAGAGAAAGGTACAGTGGATATTAAAAGTGTCAGCACTGTTACAATGTCAGGCCAGGAGTGTTCTTGTAGAAGAAACATGGACAGCTCATAACAGCCGATCATATAGTGCTTGAGATATCATGAATAATAAAGGAGAGTTAAACATATAAAATAAATGTAAAAAATAATTATAAGAGTTCTGGTCCACTTCAATAAAAGTTATAATCAAGACAAAAACATTGCGTGACCAATTTCAATCAGATTTTAATGGAGCTAATATGTGGAATTCAAATGTTGAACTTGTGGAACCTTCAATGTCTCTTTTTGTGTATACAAATAGATTAAAAACCAAACTGTTGATTTTTAAATGTATAATTTAAGTGATTTTAGATTTTTCTTATTTTTGTATGTGTTTTGATGGATTTTAAATTTTATTTTGATGTTGATTTTTGTATTGATTTTGTTTCTTCTTCGTTATTTCTATTTGAGTGATTATTTTTATTTTATGGATCTTTACTGTTGTGTTGTAGTCTGATTTGATTGGGAGTGGTTTTTACATAAGCCTATTCAGGCTTTTACCCTTCCCTTGCACGTGAAATATGTCATTTTGAATTGTTGTTGTGTTCTTTTTGTTTTACTTTTTGTGTGTTAAATAAGTCAAATCAAATCAAAAAAGAAAAAAAAAACAATCAGTCAATTAAGTTACACAGCTGAGTCCATGAGAAGAATGGATAAATACAAAAGACTTCACTGTAACGTTTTATGCTGCGTTCACACCRAACGCGATTTCAGCTTCAAAATCGCAGCCAACGCTTCAAGTTGGACGCTTGTGCACTTTGAGGTCAGACGCAGGTCAGCTCTTGAAGCGCTGCACGGCAAGAGCCTCCCCGCCCCTCCCTCCTCTGTBGGGCTTTGTTTAATGTCGGACGAGGAAGTGGCTTTGCTTTATTTACAGAGAGCCAGAGCATGTCACGTTCATCAGATAATTAATTCATAATTAATTCACCAGATAATTCAAAGAAGAGGCTCACAGCTCGCTTTCAGGACTATTTTTGTCCCAAGTCCAGTCTGATGAGCCGCTGCCACACATTGGTGCAGTTATCTCCTGTCAGGACACCGACTGCAGGCACTGGATTTCAGCTAAAGAGCTCCTCTCCATCTGTTTCAGGTTAGTGGGCATTATTCAGTAAACTGTCCCGTCGGGAAATATGTCGCTACGTCACACAGTGGAGTCTCTCTGATTGGTTGACGCAGTGCGTCGAGCTGCAAAAGTTCAGATTTTCTAACCAGCKATTTGCGCATCAAGCACGTCGAACGCTCAGATCGTTCAAATCGTGCTGCTCTAATCGCGCTTGAGGCGCCGCAGCACTTCCCGACGCTGATTGAAGCGCGTCCAACATAGACTTTGCATGTAAACCTGAGGCTCCTGATGCTGAAATTGCGTTTGGTGTGAACGCACCATAAGACAACTTGTGTTGACTTGCGAAAATTTGGTTACGACTATATTACTCATATAAATTATATACATTTAATCTAATCATGAGCATTACAGTCCAAAAGAGACTTGTACATGAAGTGCATGAAGATCTTTGACATACGTCCTGTGTTCATAAAGAACTCATCACTGCACCAGTTTAATAAAGTGATAACTTGGTTTCCTGCCCGACCCTAACTCTGCTACAGTTCTTAATAAATTATTTTGAAAATATGTTAAATTTTGGTAGCAGCTCARCTTGGTGGGGCTCACCTGTTTGTTAGCCTTGAGGACAGTTCTCAGAGTAGCAATCTGTTCTCTCTTTGTGCTGAGAAGAGATTTCAGCTTTAGGACTTCCTCCATCAGGTTTTCAGTTTCCCGCTCTGACTCGGGTCTGCTGCTCAGACCAGAGTAAGGCATCACCCCCTTCTGACGACACAGGTCCACAGCCACCTGGGAAAGAGGACGAAGGCAGGTAAGAAACAGGAATAAACTCACTGAGCTTCAGATTTTACAGCACTAGTCTAGTCTGTCAACACCTATTTAAAGTTGTGAAAATATTTTTGAAATGTCTCGATTTTGTGAAATGAGTTCAATAAATTAGTTGAAAAGCATCAAGATTCATATGGTGGATTTTAATTTATTTACCACTCTCCTCAGTGTTCCAGACAATGGTGTCTGCTGAAAGGATTCTGTGAAAGCTACAATTCAACTTTAACCTCTGATAATCCAACTCATTCAGCTCACACAGGCACGTGTCACCTCAGACTCTGAGTTGGATTTGAACAGACAGGGGAGTTACTGACCAGAGCGGTGAACAACCTTTTACCCAGAACATCCAGCCTGGCTTCCTTACTCACAAACCAGTTTTCAGTTTTAATCATTTACTGTACACCTTTCAGTATCCAAACTGTTTCCTGATAACAAACAGGTGTTTCTTTGTTTAACAAACTGAATAAAACTCCAACATCACCATCTTACCCTGAGGTGCTTGATCTGGCAACGAATGACAGCGACCAAGTTGGACACGTTGGAGGGGTCCCTGAAATCCAGCGTGGGGGATCCGGGGCAAGAAAGAGTGTCCCCAGTGGCTCCGGCGCTGTCCACCTCCCCCATAAACTGCAGCGCTGAGGCTTTGGAGATGAACGCGTCGTTGGCTCGAGGCTTCTTCTGGGAGTTGTGCTGCGAGTATATGTGGTGTGGTCTTCGTCCTCCTCCGCTGCCGCTCGCCCTGGCGCCGTCGCGGTAATAGTCCAAGGTGACCCGTTTTGGTGTTAGGTTGTTGCACACACAGATGTGGTGGTAGAGGTTCGACAGCTCCTCGGAGAAGGCCAGCAGCTCTTCCTGGGCAACGCTCAGGTGCCCTTCGGAATCGGTCGCCACTTTCCGCGTGACTCCGATCTCCTTCTCCAGCTCGCCGATGCGCTCCTGGTCTTGCTTGCTGGACTTGATGCACTGACGGATCTTGTCAGCCAGCTCCTGGGCCTCAGTCCTCCAACGATCCTTCTCCTGCTTGTACTTTAACTCCAGGGCGTTGTAACGAGTTCCTGCCTGAGACAGTTCATCTCGCAGCGTCAGAAGCTCTTCGCTAGCTGCGCGCATTCGGGCATCCAGCACCTCCTTGCTCCTGGTGTCTACCTCGTAGTCGAAGACGGCGCTGTCATCTCCAGTTTCAGTCTCCTGTTTGACCTCTGCTTCTTGGTYCTGATGCTGAGTACTCTGCACAGCTTCCAGCTGTTGCGTCAGAGAACCAACCTTGTCTTCTTGCTGACTGAGTGCCTGTTTGGACATCATCAGCTGCATCTGCAGCTCCTCCACCTTACTGGTCAAACTGGACTTATCTCTTTCTGCCTGAAAACAAACACACAAAACAATTTGAACTCATACCTTTGAAAGTCAGTTCAGATAACTATTTATTTTTTATCATAAAAAAAAAAAAGCTTCTAAAACTCCCTTCTCCATCACTTCCCCTTTACTCGTGATGCATTTTTAATGTAACCTCATTCAGTTCCAGACCAGACATCTGTTAGCTTGGAGTTTTTAAACCCAACCCCCAACTTAAGTGTATCATAAATAATATATTCCCTTCTAACTAACGGGGTGACAGTTCACATCTCTATATTCTGAAGTACTATCTGTGCATGAGGGTGTGCCATTCATTTAGGAAGCTCATTCAGTAAATCAGACATTATATATTAATACTCGTCCTGCAGCAACACAAAGCGGATGTGGCTGAAAGCAGGAAGTGGCACACAGCCCAGTCACACAGACTGTACAGCAACTTCCTCACTTAGAGAAACAAATGGTGAGAGTACTTAAGAACAAGCATCTGTGCTTCTATTTAAATGAGTTCAGCAAATCCACTGTGTTCAAAGAAAGAACAATACTGTGCATTATATTCAGAATGAATAAAAGGTGGGGTGTGTCCAAACTCTGGGGTTTTAAATGTTCATTTCTGCCATTTTAAACACAGAAGCTATCACTGTCTGAATGTCATGACATAAATCCTGTTTTAGTTTCAGTAATTACAGTTTTTTGGTTACTGACAAAAAAACTAACAAATATTAGAACAATTATTAGCATGAGAATTCAACACCCTATAAAACAACGAGTTGAATCCAGCTTTTACAGAGGGCTCCACCTTCACATTGCACAGACAATAAGCCTATTTGGCTCTAATGTTGAATCCTATAATAAAAGAAGCTGAAAAACTGGCTATGACCACAAAACCTTGTGAGTGAAATAACACGTTTTCATTTACACCACTCAACTTTATGCTAAAATGAGGCAGAAAGCTTTTGTTCTTCACCTTCTGTTTGAAGTAGGTGAGGTCCTGATACCAGTATTTCTCAAACCATGTATGGGAACTTCATTTTGAATACTTGGCAATACCAAATACCAATGCCAAGTACTTACCGAATTAGAACTTAAAACATTATAGAAAGTCTTTAAAAACTCTTAATTTTATTTAGGACAAGGTGGCTCGTCTTCCTCATAGGCCTACAGCCCCTCTGGTGGATCAAATCAAAAACACAGAATGATTAAATAATGCAGCATTTAAAGGGCCAATATTATGTGTTTCTCAGGCATTTATTTAAATTCTATACCTTATTTAAGTAACTATGTCACCTTTAGTTGTTATTAAAATGTTGTTTATATGTTTAAATAGAAAATAAACTTGACTTCCCATCATATCTGTTTCTAAACGCCTTGAAATTGGCCTCTGTCTCTTTTAAGAACCTCCTTCCTCTTCTGTCCCGCCCATTTCAGCACAGGGCTGGGTGTGTGTGCTCTGTGATGAGGAAGTTCAGCTTGGAGACACAGTCCAGAGGAGGAGCTGGTCCCAAAAGGCAGTTCTAGTCCCAACCAGTCATTTTTGCTCCCCTGCCTGGCTRCCTCAGGACACTRTAGGATTTCTCAAACATGCATGAATGAGTCAAAGCAAGACWCTGGGCATGTTTTTGATGAGAGGACAACATTATAACATGATATAAAATTTAAAAATGTTGATTTTACATGATATTGCCCCTTTAATAACTGTCTTTCAACTTGTATTACTTTCTCAAACATGGAACTGACAGACCTTTCATTTGAAATGCAGACTGTAACATAATGAATGGAGTATCGATACTGGTATCAGTAACAGTTCAGAGTAGGGCTGGGCGATTATTTGATCGCGATTATTGATGGAGAAAAAATTCAGGTCGATTACGGTGATCAGCTTGTGAGCCTCTTACTCGATCAAACATGGTGGAAATATGTGCGACAACAGCCAATCAGAATCCACTTTCTCCTGCTCTACTTCCGTTCATAATTTGCTAATGAAACACAGACGGAATCGCAGAATTAACTAAACAAAATGTAAGCCAGAATAAAACACTGAATCTCACCGAGTTCGCTTATTTGGACGAGTTTCTGAGGTATTTTGGCTGCTGTCACTTCCTGTACCTGCTGTTACCTGCTAACAGGCGCGCAGGGGGAGCTCTGAGATCCTCTCCCGAGGGAGGGGGAAAAAAGACAAGTGAGTCGTGATGCGCATCTCACTAAAACAAAAACATCCTCCAAAAATATGAAGCGGTCTTAGGGTAATGTTTAGGACAGAACAATGTGCCGGCGGTTCTTCATTTATCTAGAGAAAAACTTTTCTGTAGGTTTTATCAGCACACGATGAGCTGGACGCGACGTGAAGACCACTTCCTGTCTGAGTCTCATCAAAAACAGCAGCTGAGAGATGCTGCAAACTCCTGGGGGTTCCTTCCATAACAAAAGTAAATAATGAGCTTACCGTAGATCCTATACATTTGGCATGTGTGCATAAATTGTTGCTGTTTGTAGGGTTAATGTTTCTTTATGGCATATTTAATGTGAAATTCAATTCTAAAACTTTAATTTTACAAAAGCATAACTTTATTAATGTGAGATTCTATGAGTTACACATGAATGTTTTTTTTTCTTGGTAAATACCCTTTTAAATACCTTGCAAAAATAATTTAATGTTCTACTGAATCACAGCTATTTGTTATATTAGTAAAAGCGAAATAAGTTATTTTTTTGTAGCTATTTATTTGTTAAATTATTTTTCAGTCACTTTTTAGGTTAACAAAAAAATTGTGATATTAATCGAGATCAGACAATATGAAAAAATTAATCGTGATAATTTTTTTTGCCATATCGCCCAGCCCTAGTTCAGAGTATGGGGGCACTTTGTACGAGGACTTGTAAAAATGCTGGTATCGGGACACCACTAGCTGAAAGCACTAGTTCACATCATTAAAGCATTATTTAAGAAGAGCTGTCATGCTGCCTACCTGCAGGAGCTGCTGTTTGAGTTTCTGACTGTCTGAAAAGTGGAGCTCACTCAGCAGGTCCGACACCAGCCCTGATGCTGGCGCACGCAGGAACACGTCGGTGTTGCGTGGCGTGGAGTAACGATGGATGAYTCCGTTACTTCTGGAGCCACCTGACTGAGCAGATCCTGAACCATTATTCCTGTCCTGGTTCTCCTCCTCAGCTTCACCCTCTCCCTCCTGGCCCTCCTCCTGACTGTCATCTAAGTGGAGCTCCAGGTTCCCCACAGAATCAAAGGGGTTAAGGGTCAGGGCAGAGAGCTCTCGCCGCAGAGTGTTCTTCTGCTCCCGTTCCTCCTTCAGGGCTTCAAGCGCCTCATCCAGCTGCCTCTCTGCGATCTCCCTCAGCCTGGCTGCCTCCTCCAGCTGTGCCCGTAGCTCGTCTTGTTCCTCATTCTTCTGAGACATCTCGAGCTTTATTGATTCAAACTCAACCTGAAACAAGAAGCACAAGCTTATGTTGATGCGTGTTTTTATGGTGTTCCACGCAACATCATGGATGTACAAACAAGTCCCAACACACAGGTCCACCCATCACTGCATTAAACGCAACTTCAAACAATTTGATTATGGCCAATTCCAATTTTGGGTGGGTGGATGGATGAATGAATGAATATACACATACATAAATAAAATGGGAGAATTTCTTCCTTGATTGAAATCGTTTTGTGATTTTTCAAGAGTCAAACAACCTATTATATAWATTTTTTAAAAATCAGGAAATTTTACCTGCTTAGTGACACTCTTTGCTTAACTGTCTCATATGGGTGGTTTAAATAAGCAAAGTGTGTATAAACTCATGATACATGTATCTAACAATAAAGAAATCAAATGTATTTTGAATGTTTTCACAGAGTATGTGGTCCTGGTTACGCGTGTTGTAAAGATATTTTGTTAGGACTTTTGTCASTTGTTTGAATGACAGTGGACAGGTTTTACTAACAGAATAACACAAACATTTTCAGTTACAACTTCTCCTTTTAATGTCTGAAAAACAACATATTAACCTTTGATCCAGCAGATCCATCACCATATGGTGTGTGGTTTATTTCAAAAACAACCCAAAAGATGCATTAACCTTTGCAAACCTCTGCTACATTTTGACCTAATCATGGTTAGTACTGTTGGAGGTGTGCAAATACACCAGGCTTATTCTTCTACCCAAAGCAAACTCACATTTCTACTTGTCAAACCAATCTACAAACTTATACAGTATTATGCTTTATAGAAGCTGCCTTTCTAAATGAGATACAGTTTAAAATGAAATTCTTGAAAACTTAACTAAAATAAATGAAAACTTGTTAGAATCAAAAAACATCTGAGTTCACTTCAGGTTTTCCAAAGCCTATTATATTAGTCAAATAGAATATTAAATGAAATTATTTGAAATTATACTACTTGTAATTGCATAAATAATTTTTCAGATTAATTGCTACAAGTGTATTTTCAGGGTTTTCATGTCACACTCAAAAATTAACAAACAAGACTTATTTACTTAAGGCTGGTCCATTTGCAGTCGAGTTGTGAAGTTTTGTAAACAAACATGAGGGGGATTAAAGTTTTTCTGTCTTTAACACTWGAGAAACAACCATAACAGAGCTTTAACAAGTACAAACATAATTCACCCTAYACACAATCATAAAATAAACACAGGATTAGAAACCTAACATTAAATTTACGCACAGTTTATACAAACATGTTTTCCTCATGTACGTTTGGCATTATTAAGATTCCAAAACAATTATAGCCAKTGTAGAATAATAAAAAGCCAATGGGGAAACTGACCTGGTTTTCCTTGAGCACAGACACCTGTTTTTGCAAAGATATGTTCTCTTCTTCCAGTTCACCATTGTCCTGCAACTGACGCAGCTCACGTACTTTATATTCCTTCATTTCATCCCTGAGATGGCCCTTCTCTGCCTCCAGACACTCACACTCCTGTGGAAAACATCCCACCATCATATCAGCAAACTAAACTTTAAATATACAATAACTTAAAGTCACATATAATTTATGTTGTTTGGAAATAAGAGCAATTTTTTTTWAAATTTCGTACCTTTTTAAGCTGGGTGGAGAGCACCCCCAGTCGGTCAAGCTCTGCGTGGGCATTGCTAAGAGCAAGACGAGCTTGTTTGAGCTCTGCCTGAACTTCCTCCATCCTTGTTGCCATGGCAGCCTCTTTCGAGGCGGTTTCCTGCAGAAGACTCTCTTCCCGGCACTCTCCATCAGCAGCCGCTCGCTTCTGGCTGCTCACAGAATCTGCAAAGGCCTTTACACAAACAAGACGAGTTAATGGACGAGCCAACGAGCAGTTTTGTTACACTTTAAACAAAATGTTACAGACAGGCCCAAACTGCATTAGGCAAGGGACAAAACGTTAAATGAAGTAAAGAAAAATTAACTTCATGTGAAACTCTAAGCTGAAACCTGGCTACACAAGAGAAAATAAAGAGGACGAAGGCCTGATATGGCTGAGTGGACTTTAAACCGAACAGCAGCTTTCACATATTTCACTCTGTGCACATCTGTTAAACTACATGTAACACCACAAGTTTTTTAACTGCCAAAACCAGTAAGACATTTAGCATTAAACGAAGCTAATAGGATCAACATAACATTCGATTAAACTGTGGTTATATAACGATGGTGACTTACAGCCCAATCTCACTGTGTGAGATTCCAATAAATTAGGTTTAAGCAGATCATAAGAGCCTTAAATTCTAAACCACTACAGACATAAAGGCCATTTCTTAATAAAAGTTTATACAACACAATGGTAAACTTTCTCTATTGTTATTCTATAAAAAGCTATTACTATATTTAACCAGGATTTTCTTTTCTTTTTCCATTAATAAAAACATAGTTGAAGCAATTGTAAAATTAAAACTCTCCCTACATGATGACTGTCACGTGAGGTTTTCCTCAGTCTCAGCAAAACAAAATATTTTAAGTGCAATCTGATGCCTTTTTTCACAAAGTTTAGATTTAAAAAACACTGTTTTAAAAATATCTGTATAATCCGGGGCTACCTTCGTTCTGTTTATCGCTTTATTGTTGCATTTTAAAGTCAGTTTAACTCTTGCAAATAAAATGCATTAGAAATATAAAACATTTGGCAGTGGAGAGCATCCTAACAGTTTTTTTTTACATTTTTGTCAGTGTGTTTGTGAGCTGAGACACACTGAGCACTGAGTGACTCATATTTGATAATGACACCCTCCTACATCATATGACATCCTAGGACAAAACTCACATTCATGGTTACTGATGATGTTAGGGCACATTTGAAACAGATCTATTTAACAGGAAGAATTCTCAGAGGACAAAGGGAGATGTGTGTTTAAACGTATGTCATATTTCAGACGCAAATGTAAACATTTAAGATGACTGATCCCCAAACACTAAAAATCAAGTAAATTGCAGCAGGGACTATTTTAATACTTGCATTTTGAAAACGAGCTGCATTAAATGACTAAATGTATTATTAACCTAAAAAAAATCATAAATAATTGATGTGTTTAAGGAAAATTGCACCTGAAAATTAGGGGTGAATGATCAGTTTTACAATAAACATAAAGCCTCAGGAGATCCCACCTCTTTGAGCTGCTGTAGCTCCAGTTTTAGGGCTTCGTGCTCCTCTTCCAGCTGCCTGTGTTTCATCTTAAGGGCAGCACTTTCCTCCAACACAACCAGGCCATAGCGGGCTGCCTGTAGCTTTTCCTCCGTGGCCTCGTGGAGCTCCAGAGTAAGCCGCGCCACCTCAGCCTTCAAGTCTCTGCTCCCCATGTCTGCTATCCCCTCTGCTTCTTCACCTGCTGGGTCTGTGTCAGTCTCCAGCATCCTTGTCTGGCCTCCAACTTTGTCCAAACTGTACTGAGACACCTGCCTCTTTCACTCCTCCAGGCTCATTACACCACTCTGTAGAAACAAAACACAGTCAAGGTGATCTGATTAACCATTTAGTCAAGCTTTCTTCGAAAAAATGAGGTGGAGAGGAGACACGCACTAACTGAGCAAAATGCCAACAGCTATCGCACAAACCCAAGTGTTTTACATCACGTGAAGATCATATTACAGTGTCAACTGGACTTTTGTTGTCAGGTAAAACAAATGTTTTAGCACAATTAGCACAATGTACTCGTCTGTTGGGCACGTCATGGTATTTAAAGGCTCCTTGGGAACKAAGCCTAAGATTCACACAAATAACATCAATTATTTATGACAACAGGATGTGCTCAGTCTATCTTGCTTCAGCCACATAAAATCAGCAGATAGTGAAATACTTGTATTCAGCTACACGGCAGCTGATTGTCCTGCACCCAGAAGCTTTAGAAACTGATTTATGTTATTTTGATCAAAACTATTGGCAGGGTGGAGCAGATTGTCATTTATCGTGAGCTCATGCGTTTGCCCTGTTTCATTATGTGACTAAATGTCCTGAAAGGATAATATCACGACATCAGCTAAACGTTTTCGAGTCTCTTTCTTCTAAAACCATAATATGCAGCTGTAGAGAAAATGATAACTCATCCTGACGGGGATGCTTGAGGAGGATACCTGGGAAACAGAACACTGACTGACTACACACTAAAACACAGCTAGCATCAAATAGCTTAGCTTAAACGTTGACGGAAACAGTAAGTAAAACCAAATATGCTAACTTACAAGCAAGAAGAATATACAAATTTGACAGTTTAGATTATCGGTGTTAATACATTAAAATATTCTAGACTGAACAGCCACTACGGAGTTGCTCTCTCTCTCTCTCGTCATAAGTCAACCGAATYCTATCAGACAAGCTAATTAGCTGCACAGTTAGCCATCACTAGCTAAAATAGGCGCTCACCCTGTGTGGGTTCCAGACCAAATGGAGCTCGCCGTCTGTCAGAGAACGTTAACTTCTCCCCTCTGTTTGGACCCGTCAAAAACAGCGGGTTTCTTATCACGCTAGTTACCGCAAGTACAAGCCCAGCAGCCGCTCCTCTTCCTCCCACCCCACCTGCATCCCCCTCCGCTCATGACGAGGTCGAGTGTCAAGTGCGCGCCGAAAAAGTGATGACGCAACTGCCTCCCCTAGAGGAACAACAAGGTACTGCAGCCACACGTAAAAATAAAATAAAATGTTATTACTGTATGTGTATTTACGTTATTCAGCATGCAACATCATTATATACGTATTTATTAAACTTTATGCAAAAAAAACCCTCCGAATACAATAAATGGTAACCTAATCTAAGCGAAGTCCACTTCCGCTTGTGCGTTTCTTTATATCCGGTTGACTTCCGGTTTTGAACATTGCTTTTTTTTCGTGTAGTTCTTGCACAATGAAGGTTGTTACTTGGAATTTAAACGGCATTAGGACTTTTAAATCCGGTATCAAACAGGCTCTTGATTGTCTGGACGCAGATATTATCTGTGTTCAGGAGACAAAAGTAACAAGTAAGTCTTTGGAAAAAATAATAATGAAAAAGCAGGACATGAGCGCTGTCTCCTACGTGTTGCAGTAAATAGTGGAGGAACTTGAGGAACATTAAAAAGTTAAAGCTGTGTGTATGCTTTGCAGGAGACCTGCTGGATGAAAGAACTGCCATTGTTGACGGCTACAATTCCTATTTCAGCTACTGTCGAGGACGCAGCGGCTATTCAGGTTTATTACAACGTTATTTCGCGTCCTCTTTGTCATAAAATATTGCAATGTTTGCTTAAAGACAGGTAGTGGTGAACACAAACGCTCATAAATAGTAACACAACTGTGCAAACTAATCCATGTCTCATTCCCGGTGTGCTCAGGGGTTGCATCTTACTGTAAGGACAGTGCCACTCCATTTGCAGCTGAGGAGGGTCTCACAGGTCTGCTGACCAGCCATGAAGGTGCTGTGGGATGCTACGGTGACCTCTCTGACTTTTTGAATGAAGAGCTGCAGGCTTTAGACAACGAAGGACGAGCTGTCATCACCCAGCACAAAATCATGTAAGATTTTAAAAATGACAAAGTAAAACGTGTCATATGAGTAATATATTAGCATATATACAACAATATACATGCAATATTTGTCAATGCAATGTAAACTGCCTATGTAGTGCATTTTTTTGAAAATCCTTTTTAGAGAGTTATTAAAGTGTTTTGTTTTTGTAAATGTTTCTTTTTGTAGTTATTATTTTTATTTATAAATTGTGTTTTCCCCCCACAGGTGTCATGACAAAGAGCAGGTTGTTACTGTAATAAATGTGTACTGTCCACGGGCAGACCCTGACAAACCAGAGCGAAAACGATTCAAACTACAATTCTACAAGCTGCTTCAGAGTCGGGCTGAAGCTTTACTGAATGATGGGAGGTGAGAGTTTTAGATTAAAAAATAAAAAAACAAGCACAGGTGCTTCCTGCTTCTACTGCAAATGTTCTATGTTCTAATATTTACCAAAGCATCTTTAAGCAGGCGTTTGGTTGCTACACATGTAGATTTTGCAATAGCACAAACCACTTAGAGCTCTTTGATAATTGTTTGCATTTGCTGAATCTTAAGATGAGCAATTATGAGAAAGAAATCAGAAAAATGTCTAATGTTTTACTTTTTCTTATATTTACATTGAATCTTAAATTTTGGACCATATATGTTAATAGTCTGGTCTTTTCCTCTGTCTTCCAAATACAATAAAATATTTTTTTTTCTGTCCTGTGTTTCAGCCATGTGATCATTCTTGGAGATGTGAATACATCTCATCGACCAATAGACCACTGTGATCCCAATGATATTGTAAGTAAAATGTTAAAAACTGTTTTGTGATTGTTGTTCAAATAAAAAATAAAAATAATAGTTTAATGCTATGGAACACATGCTTTGAATTTAATACAAATTTTATCTGTACATTATAAATGCTGGTTAGCACAAACACATAGAGGAGTTGTGAAATTTCCACACCAATTTCCTGAAACAAGTATTTAGAAAACTCAAGAAGATAAAGATTTAAAAATAAAGTCACTGTCTTTCTTGCAGGAAAAATATTGACTAAATATTTCTGTGTTTTAAATCCTTCTTTTTCATATTTAAATCATTCAATGCATTTAACAGGTACAGAAGTGCATTTTGCATGAWATGTCCCCTTTAAGACCCTTTTTGACCAAATGTTTCAAAGGCAAGCCATCTTTAATAGTTTGTGGCTGCAAGTCTGTAACTTACGTCTTGAAACCTCCTAAGTACCAAACGTTATTTTATTTATTGTTATTTTAGAAAATGAAAACACAGCTTAGTGATCAGTTGGACTGTGTTCATGAGTTTTTTTTTTGCAATATAAGACTTCAAGTAAGGTAAAGTGGTTTGCTTGAGCAAATATATTTGTTTTACTGTCTTTTTGTTGCTTAAAACGTCAGATTCTCTGAGTTCCTGTATGCTTATTCTAATATTTCATCTACCGTTCCCCATCACTCAGGAAGATTTTGATGAAAACCCTGGGAGAAAATGGCTAAACGCCTTTTTGCACAGCAGCAACCAAGAAAAGAGCCATGATGAAGATGGACCCGAAACAGAATCGGAGGTAAAGGATCCTGTCCAACCAGGCAAATTTATCGATACCTTTCGGTTTTTCCACCCAACTCGTACCAATGCCTTCACGTGTTGGTCCACTCTCACCGGAGCGCGGCAGACCAACTACGGCACACGCATCGACTACATATTTGCGGACCGCCAGCTCGTCACAGAGCAGTTYGTGGCAGCGGACATCAGGCCGGAGGTGGAGGGCTCAGACCACTGTCCTGTTTGGGCACAACTGAACTGCCCTCTCCTGCCCAGCTCCAAGCCTCCTCCCCTCTGCACTCGCTACCTGCCGGAGTTCGCCGGCAAGCAACAGAAACTCTCGCGCTTCCTTGTTAGGATGGACCAAAAACTGACTGTGCTTGAGCAGAAGAATGGCTTACCTGGTTCTCAAGAAGAGGAGGAAAGAAGGGAGAACGTAAACCCAATTCGAGTTGATAACACCTCTGGGAAAAAGCGCTCATTAACTTCAGACTCTGCTGTCCCAAAGGGGAAAAAGACTAAGAYGGTAAATACTTCTTTAAAGCCACAAGGCAACCTTCTTTCATTCTTCAAACCCAAATCCACCAATGATAAGCCGTGTGAAGAGGCATCSACAGCTACTGCTCAGTGTTTAGTCACCACAGCCGATGAAATCAAACCTGTTGTTGACGGTTCAGCCCAGCTRTGTACCAACAAACCAGTAAAGACCAATAATTCAACCCCTCAGACCACTGTGGGACAACCAGATGTTAAGAAAGGAGCATCWTCTGGGTTTTGGAAGTCTGTGTTTCACGGTCCACCCCCGCCACCATCCTGTAAGGTCCACAGGGAACCCTGTGTGCTTCGCACTGTGAAAAAGGACGGGCCAAACGTGGGCAAACAGTTCTTTGTGTGCTGCCGTCCTCAGGGACATGCCTCCAACCCCGAGGCTCGGTGTAACTTCTTTGCGTGGGTTGAGAAAGGAAAGTGACACGTTTTGAGACACAAACAACCGTTTAAACTCCACTGTACATATTTTTCAGCATTCCAGTTTGTAGATGTTGATTTTGTTTTTTTTTTATCTAAAATAAAAATAAAATAGTTTTACATTTCAGTTTTTTTTCTATTTCTGAATCTGAAAACAAACAAGTCATTTTGCATTTTAAAATAAGAAATTAAACGTGTTTTAGCTTGTCAGATGAGAAAAAGTTGCATTTTTTATCCTTCAAATTAATCTTAGGCACTTGTTTGATTTCTTAAGTTTGTTTTGTACATATAATTTGAATACAATATATTTAAGAAGTTTTAACACTTTTTATCAGTGTTGTAT